ATGTCTTTGTCCATATCACTCATCTCGGGACACGGGGTTCAGTGGCCAAGAGCTCCCTACCCATAGATCTGGGATCCGCTCACAGGCAAGTCTGTTAGCACAAGAATGGGAAATGCTGCTAATGCAAACTACTTTATCAGGGGGAAAATGGTCCCTAAAAGGTGACAAGTGAAGAGAATGTGAGCTACACTACTCAGAGGGAAAGCGCAAGCCCCCCACTTTCCTGTGTGCAAGGCCCTATGAGACCTGGCCCCTCCCGCACCCTCATAAACCCTTCTAGTTCCTTCCGCATCCTACTAGCTGCCCCCTCTGCTTGGGATGCTCTTCCAGCCGCCCCATGGCTTACTTCCTTACCTAAGGGTTTTACTAAAGGCCACCTCCCTGACCACCCTACCTAAAACTGCAAGTTGCACCCTTGACCACGCCCTAGCCCTAGCATAGACAAGTTGCTTTCTCTTTCTCCACAGCACTCATGTGTTTTCCTACATTTTTCAATGATTTGCTTCCTGTCTCCCCTGTCCTGGAATGTGAGCTCCCTGAAGGCAGGGAGCTTGTTTTGCTCCTGGCTGTAGCTTACTGCAGCCAGCATCAGTGCTCAACTAAACATGTTTAATCCACCAGAAAGCTGTTAAACGAGGCTCATAAACCAGAGAATATAAAGACCTCTACTTAAAATGACATTTCCAGAATAATCACTCTTCCACCCCATTTGACAACACTGTTCTAACACGTAGCAGCAGCAAGCTAAACCATGCTGGCTTTGTACAAACTTGGTTCAGTCTTGGTACGTACTTTTCAATTTCCAGTATGAGCAATGTTGGTGCCAGAGATACTTCTAAACCTGTAGTACACTGTCTGGGACCTCAAAGGCAGGTATGTATCACCCTGGATTCCTGCCCACCAGCTGGCACCAGGAGCGAATGCGAGAAATGCATTAGCATGTGCTCTGACGCCCAAGTGTGAGCGCCTGGGCTTAGTGCAGCTGGTCCCTGACATGACAAACCCTTCCCAGGAACTGTACACCACCGGGGCGCCCTTACAGATTCCTAAGCAAGAGCCCAACCCCACAGATGAATCCTCTGCATAACTTTTCTGGGGTGGAAGAAGCGTGGGTTTGGACTAAATTACAAAAAGAAAAAAAAAAAAAAACGCAAATGGAAAAAAAAACCCCAAATTAGCTACCAAGTTAAAGGAGAAGACGGAGTTTGGCTTTCGTACGCCCCCGAAATCAAACAACCAAACAAGACAAAACCCAAAAACCACCAAAAAAAAAAACAAAACCCAAAAACAAAAAGAACAAAAAAACAACTACGTGTGGGATCCCCCTAGGTGGACGCAAGAGGAGGAAGTTCCATTCTTACTTGCTATAACCATTCTTTAGTTCACTTTTCATACTTTTTCTGATACAAGACTTGTGTGTCCCACAGCAGGTTTTGTTTTTTTTTTTTTTGGAGCAGTCTTCTGTTGCCCGGGCTACAGTGCTGTGGTGTCAAAAAAAACAACAAACAAAACAAACCCAAAACCACCAACATAAAAAAAACAACATCCAACCCACCAAAAAAACCGCCAAAAACAAACACACACCCCCCCCCTCCACAACAAACTCACCACCCCACACACAACACACACAAAAAAAAAAAAAACAATCACCCAAACCCACAACCCAACAAAAAACAAAACAAACCCACCCTCAAAAAAAAAAACAAAAAAACCCAACAATAAACCTCCCCCCCCCCCCCAAACACAAAAACCCACCACCCCCCACATGACTCACCAAACCATACCAATAAAAACCCCCCAAAACCCACCCACACAAAACAAAACACAACACAAAATACAACTCCACAACCACAAACAAACACAAAAAAAAAACAACCCTCACAAAACCACACAAACCAATAACAAAAAAAAAACAAAAAAACATAAAAAACAAAACCAACCAAAAAAAAAAAAAAAAAAAAAAACATCAACACAAACCAAAACAAAAATAAAAACAAAACCCCAGCCAAAAATCCCAACAAATCCACAACCCCACAACCAACCCACTCAACAAACACAAAAAAAATCCAAACAAACACAACAAACCAAAAAACAAAAAAAAAAAAAAACCAAAAACACCCAATAAAAATCACAAAAAAACCCAAAAAAACAAAAAACACAACACAAAACACAAACGTGCTCAAGCCACCAGCTCGACCCAAATGGTCAAGCAAACCTCAGCTTAGTCTCCTGAGTAGCTGGGGGATACAGGCACGTGCTACAACATGCCTAGCATAACCCCCAATAAAACCCACACACATAAACCCACCCTACAACTACCCCACCCCAACTTAAACTCATACTCTACTCATTTTTCGCTTGCGCCACGCTAATCTTTCATTTTTAAGATAAAAACACACACAAAAACAGAGATGGGGTCTCCGCTCTTGCTCCGCGCTTCTCAACTTCCTACGCCTCACCAGATCCTCCCACCCTCCCCAGAGCCTCCGAACAAGTGTACGGACCCCTTACAGGCATGAGCCCCACATTCCCGGCACCAGCTCGTTTTTAACCAACTCAACGCCGCTTACACCAACAATTCATCCTCTCACCCATTGCTATGTCATAGAACAGTTCCCGTCTTGAAAAGGACAGGCCAACCATCACCTGCTTGAGCTCTATCCTCTAAACACATCACCTGAAAGCAACGCCCACGGCAAACTAAGCCCGACACAACGATAACGAAGAATATTTATAGAAAAGAACATGTGACCATATTGCGGGACAAACAAGGTCAGCACACTCAAGGTCCAGCTTGTAAGAGGCACATACCATGGCACCCTACCGCTCTGAGTGAGAGCCACGAGGAAGCTGGAATACTCCAGTTT